AATCTCACTTGGGCTTTGGATAAAGTCTTCACATCCATCTTCATGCTGTTCGACTTTCTCCGTAGTAGTTGACAAAACCATTGCTATGAAGTGAGAAAAGAGGATTTCAGCTAATGGGACTGCACTAGGATGACATAAGTAATAACCACAGAGGAAAAAATAACCATGCCTCAGCTTCAAATCTGTGATGTTCTTGCCTCCATAACTTCTAAGTATTTGATAGTGTAGCAAACAAAAATATGAAGCAAAGGGAATAAAATCTCAGTCATACAGATGTGACCCAGCTTCTACGTCCCTTAACTAGCAGCAAGGAACACTGTCTTTTACTTATTCAGAGGTCTGGCTAAGACTAGCAATTGAATAAAGATTACTTTACAAAACCAGCAGATATGATATGATAGGAAGGAAGGGGAGCAGTTATGAGAATCTTGCCACGACTGAAAATGTTCAAAGGAACACAATTACCTAAGTGCCTTGTTCAGGTTTTGTAAGGCACTCACGTCATTTAGGTGTTCCTGATAATTTTACTCCAAGGCATACAAAACATGGCAAGCACAGCTGCAATTAAATGCGGGAGCTTAAAACAGGTACCAGAATCCAGAAAGAATTTAACAGTTCATTATTTCATCAATGTAACCGATGCCCCAACAGGTTTATCAAGACTTTTGAGTGGGAATGTTCTCCCCCTGCCCTGTTTCGTTGGTGTAGCTGTGAGTACAACAGAATCCTTTTCTGGTGGGAGAGCACAAAGTGGGGCATCTAGCTACTGCAACAAATTAAGTTACTATTTTGCCTTGATTTCTGTTTTATCTTCTTTAAATAGAAATCTTGTCTTCAGTTAGATAGGTGTGTGAAGAGTAGATAAAGTAAATATCTGCCTTGCAAATGTAAGGAATGTGTTGTTTTTACCTAAAATGGCTTTTCTGAGAAAGAAGATTTCTTATCAAATGACAAGGAAATATTTTAGTGATTATGCATTCATTTATGCATCATAAATGCATTCATATATTGTACATAATGGTATATAACCAGGACAGGATGCTTCAATGTAGATAAACACAGGAATTACATGTATTAGTGAGCATTTACTTGTTTGTAAAACTGCTTTGTTTTATTTGTGCATGCATTTTCTGCTTGTGTTTCATCTCATTAACTTTACAACAGTAGTATGTGCTTAGATTTAATGTCTGCAATGATTATCTGTAAAGTCATGTTTATATTGTAAGGATAATGTTTATATGTTACAGGAATTGCATTATTGTATTAAACGTGTGCTCAGTCTCAGGTCAGTAACAAATCAGCTCTTTGGAGCCAGTGCTGATTAGTGCAATTTTTAGCAGCGTTGCAGAAGATGGTATTTCTTTATTGAGCCATGCTAAACACTATCTTGGCTTTTGCTATAAAAAGAGAAAAGAGGGGAAAAGAGACAGAGAAGAATGCTTTTATGCATATGACATGCAGCCCTGGGGAAGATGCAAATCTGGAATGAAAACTAATTGCTTTCTACTTTGTTGCATAGCCTGAACTATGTGGAGTAGAGCTGACCAAAAGGAATATGTGGTTTATGCTAACTAGTAGTGATTATTGCAGAAAGCTGCCACAAAAATAGTACAATTAAAGGGACACTTTAAAAAATAATTCTTCAGACCTTATGGAACAGACCTTATTGCATTATAAATGTGTTTTGATGGGTCTTCCTTGACAGGGGGATAGACGGGGAGAAGGATGATACAGTGTAGCTAGTGGAATGGAAAAGCAATTATATTTCATCAAAAAGATAAAATTCATTGTACTTTCCACCTCAAAAGATTGCTAAATATGATTATATGTAATATAAGCAATTAAACACAATAATATTCAAAAAGGTCCCCCCCCCATGCTTGTCTTCAGAAAGAGAAAAGAATTGTAGCATCTAAATTGTGGGCGTACGCATTGTGCACTAAATCAGTTTTGTGTGACTGTGTCTGTTCAAGGACAGTTTAAAGGACAAGGCTGAACATGGCAGTCATCAGTTATTTGCCTTCTGCAACAGGGAGGCAACCATCTACATATAACAGTTTTTTAGCCATTTAGGTTAATTGTCTTTACAGGATATATCCAACATGCTCTTGGCAGCTCCTGAGTTCAAGTAACTCACTTCTCTGTTTCTTTAATAATGCCATCTTTACGAAATGCCAAGCTGAACTTAACCAAAATGATCTTAAAAATACAAATATTGTTTAATGGGTCTGTGAAATAAATAACAACACAAAGTGATAATGCTGGAATATCTTCAGACTGAGAAGGCAATCATGGTGTGTATGCGATGTCTGGATAAATGTTTAGAATTTCATTACAGACTATTTGAAAGGTGAATACACAAGGTTTATACCACTAACTTTATGATAAAATATATAAACTGAAATGAATATATTAGAGTTCTATTTTTAAGTAAATGTAATTATTGATAATGTAAAATAACTAAAATAATTTTATATTACAGCTTTCTATTGTTTATAGGAATGCAGTATTTAATGTTTTATGCTGACAGGCATTCCTGAGTTCCAGATGGCATTTGAGAATTATGTAGGTTGTCTAATCATCAATAAGTGGCTTATATGGAGAAGTAATTAATACCATGATTATTTTCCTTATGAGTCAGCAGGTGTGTCATATGCATAATTTCTAGTGTGGAAAAAAATCAAAATGGCTTCTGCTGTGATATATATTTTACAGAGAGAAAGATGCTGAAAAAGGATTCTTTTTGGTTATGTTGTGATTTGTGCTGTGGGTGTATTAAGAATGTAATTAAAAAGGGAAAGGATTTTACCTAAAGGTTTAAAAACCCTGAAAAATTTTCTGGAATATTAATACTCTTTGAGGGTGATTTTGCATTGTATTTCAAAGAAAAGCAATCATCCAGTTTGTTGAAAACACTGACCAAATATCACAGACAGAAAATAAAAGTAGAAAATGAAGAAAATTAGATAGAAAGAAGGATTAAGAAAAGAAATAATTTCTAGTTTTCCATGTAAAAAGAAAATTTTAGTGTTATCCATTTTGACTTGTCTGTTCAAAATACATTAGCACCAAATGTCACACCAGTGGAGCAAAGTACCTACCAAGGGAAGGACAGCGAGACATATTCATTGCAACTATTTAATAATTTCCTATTGTCCTAACAATTTCCCATTTCCTAATGTATAAGTATTGTTATACTATTATTTCATTTACTGTAGCGATCAGCACAGATGATCTTCAGTAAATTTTTGTGCAATATTTAGATAGCTTTTATGATATATGCAAGTGTCTTTTATGTATAGATAATTTCAAATCTGTGTATCATCACCTAGACTTTAACCTACCTTCTTGTCATCCAGAATGTAAGGAGTATGCCTTAATTCCATCATCCAGAAATATACTGAAGTTCTACAAGTGTATGTGTCTGCATTAGCACATGTGTTTAAAAATGTGTCATATGCCTTTCTATGGATCCACCTTTGAAGGGAGTTACTTTCCTCTTCTTTCCACTCAATCATCTACCACATGATGAAAGCATAGACTGTTTATATGAGCTATAACTAAAAACACCTGAAAACATCTGTCATAAAATGATATTTCTCAGCTTTTTAAAATGTGTAGTTTCTCCATTAATTAAATTGATCTGAGGTGTGGAAGGGCAGTGCACAGTTCTGGGAAGTGACAGGTTTAAGGATCAGCCTCTTTGCAACACGTTATGAATTGCAGTTATGGCTGTATCATAGCTAAACAGCGTCAATTTGGGAAGATTTCCAGGAGGTCATTTATCTAGTTTTGGAATATCCTGGGTAGTGAGCTTTGTCAGTACATCGGTGGAAAGGGCACCTTAGACATTTGCTTTTGGCTTCTGAACCAAGGACCATTTTATTCCTTCTAACCAATACACTTACAAGTCCTGGCAACAACTGCAGCCTCACTTTATACTCTGATAAGCAGGCTGTTGATTTAAGGGTTGAAAGTCAGTACTCCTAGCACTCGTGGTGACCTTCTTCCTTCATGATGGCGTACCAAAAAGTAGAAGCCAAGTATCTTTGAAGGCGGTTTATTTCATTTTAATTTTGTTCAACTTCAAATACGTGTTTCAATGTTATAATGTGCGGTTGCACTGTAAAGGATGCAGAGGACAACTCTACTGTCTGCTTTTCTATACTTACTAATGTGTTTAAACTTCTAGTACGAAGAGACAAAAATAGTAACAACTGTATTTATAAGACTCTTTCATTAAAATAGATTTTTTCCTGTGAAATGTGTGCAGCAGATGCTGCTGTGTGGTGAATGTCATTTCAGCATTCGTTTGGAAAATGTAAGAGGTGAAATCATGGACTGAGTAGAGTTGCTGAGCCCTGGTCTCTAAGGAGCTTGTGGTTTCCATGTGAAAGCCTCAGCTTTTTCTTACTCTCTTATCCCAGATACATTATTTCTTCTGCTGTGTGTTTGCTTATATTTTACTGCTTTAGGGAAATAGTTTTGTGCCTACATTTTAGGTAAACCATTGTGTGATAACTATATAAAACCATAGAATATTAACAAATATAATTAAAAAGAGAGAAATGTTAGGTTGTTTATAAATATATGAGAAGTTTATTGCACTCTGATTACAGCCTCACAGAAGTAAAATTCCACTGGCTTCTGTAGCATTGCTCTTATTAGGCCAACAGAAAGCAAGCCCAGTACATTTATTTTTATGTAAACTTTGTCCAGTTAAGTTGTCAAAGCTGTGCACTGTAAAACTATTACAAGGTATTAATATACGTTGGTTTGATGTCAAAAAAGCATTTTATGCCTAAATGTTGATTTTCATCAATCTGTTGTTTCTTATCATCATTTCTTCACATGGGTAAAGTGCGCACTTTCCTAAATCGAATGACTTAGCACTTCTGTAGTGCTTTACAGTTCTGAAATGCTGTGTGAATATTAATTACGGCACAGAGCAGCCCGGTGAGGAAGGTAGATAAGTAAGTATTATTATCCCTATTTTACAGATGGGGAAGCTGAGGCACAGAGATTAAGTGACTTTCCCAAGGCCACACAGCAAGTCAGTGGCAGATCCAGGATTAGCGCTTGGGGACTTCCTGGATCCCTCTCCCATGCTTTAAGCAGTAGACCACAGTGTTCACTGGACTCAGCAAGCAACTCATTGCAATAATGGACAGTTCCAAGGACTCATACCTGGTCAGTGTGTCCACACATTTGTTTGCACACTACTGCAGCGTGTCAGTATGGTTTGAATACCTCAGTCCTAGCAGATTTGTGCACTATGTAAAATTTCTGACCTTCATCATTTTCAAATGGGGTGAAAGGAAGAAGTGGTAGAATTCTGTCGTAAACGTGGCATGGCTGTGAAAAACATTTAGTTTTCATGCCTTATTCTGATCTTGCTGAAACTGATGGGCAAAAGTGCAGTGGATTCATGGCTGTGAGGATGTTAGTGTGGAGGTTTGTGGCTGCTTGGTATGTTAGAAGTCATCCAGAGCATTAATTCTGTCTTCCAGGACTGTCTTATGGTTAGTCTTGCCTATACTTTCAGTTTCAAACTCTCATTTATTACAACACTTAAAAATAATTATTTCATAGTTTTCCTGACATGCTAATAAAAAGCAGAGCATTAGCAACTGAAATTAAGTTTCTAGTCTCTAGTCATCATGGGAAAGTAGAGCGCATCTGCCACTATTGTTACTTGTATTGTGATAGTGCTTACCTACAAGTGAGATTAAGACCTAATTGCACTAAACTACTTGCAAGCCCTTCCCTCCCTTCTCTCCTCCTCCAAGGAGGCAGTACAGGAATCACAGAAATTACTTCTAGCTTAAATGCAGTGTGACTCTTGTACTGGTAAATGCAAGGTGGCTTTCATACTGCTCCCTGGGAAGTGAGAGTGTACAGTGCAAGGCCTGTTTAATTGGACTTTGCTCAGAGTTTGACGTGTGAATTTGCAACAACACAATACTCCCAATTAAGCTGTTTTTCCCTGTAATATTAATGGAATAAACCCACTTCTGAGAATGAGGTGAGGCTGAGACTTGCTGTGACATTACAGGAAGAGGAAGCAGGGAAGAAAAAGATTGCCAGAAGCTGAACACATGGGAAAGGAGAAGTCAAAGTGTATGAGCATATTTTGATAAATATTAATGAATTAATTTGTATTTAGTTTACTTAGATGATCTGTAAAGACTTTATAAACTGCCCAGCAATTTAATATTTTCCCCATTGTAAATTTCCCCTAATATTGCTTCCATAAGGCCTTTTCAGGATCAGTAAAATACCGATGGCTATGCCTTATGCTGGAATAGCACTACTTCTGATGTGGCTGTAATACTTGGCCTTTGGCATCCTGCCTAACCATTCACCCAGGGGCACGGCGTCATGCCAGCATGACAAATATGCCCAGTTATGTCTAACTGCTTAACATAATGGATTCATTTTACCTAGAATGGTCAAATGGTTTGCGTGAAATTGTACTGCCCTGGTACATTTTAATAGATTATTAGCTAATTCTAAATTATTAAAAGACAAAACAGTTTCAACAGAAGGCCTTTCCTCATTGTCAGATTTTAGTTACGTACTATTATCTGCGGGAAAGCTCTAATAAAGACACTGTAACACTCTCAGTCTCCCTTTCTTTAACAGCCCAGATGCTTGGCGCTGACACGTTCCTAGGATTTTTCTATACAAGAGAGCTACAGCATGACAGCTATTTTTAAAAAAGAGAGGAGCCTGAAACAAAAACTTATATGCAGAATGCACGACATCCAGCTCTAGATGCGAATTTTTTTGCCTGGGGCATCTGCTCTTTAAGGAGAGGTGCTCCTGTAGTTTAATTTCTTGTTATATTCTATTGCATTCTATATACAGATATATATTTAGCATATAATGTTGGTATTCAAATCCCCTTGCCTCAGACTTCCATTAATATACCAATTTTATATATTGAAATCAAGCAGTTCTAGTTCTAATATCACTTACTAAAACCCTTCCACTAATGACAAGTAAATATATATTCATGATATATTAATTGATGGTTTTGTATAATGCATCGTTTTTTCTTCATCATCATTTACTGGAAACTACTCTAAATCATGTTGTGAAATACAGGCTGTATTTAGCAACTTCTTTTTGTTGCAGTTGGTGATGTCAAACTCATAGTGAAGCCAATGTTCGTTTTAGCTTAGCATCCAGTGCCTTGTTGCTGAACTCCCAAAAGATTTCTCTACTTAGGGAAATGTTATTTTTTTTCATGTCAGAAGTGACCAGAATCACTAATTTCTGTAGCTTTTTTAGCCTGAGCACAGTACACTAATTCATCACATAATATGTTTATAGTGCAGTGGAGAATACAGTTAAAATGCATGTATGACTACAGTGTAAAATTAAACATGAAATGTATGTTGCTGAGGAAGAATTGCTTTTCTGTTTTCTGCTATTAGTGTGTGCTGTCTGCCTTTACTGTAATTACAGCTTGGTGTTTGTAAAGAAAAGCAAAAGCTTTGCAATCACCAGTAAGTGAAGCCAGTTGTTTTCATGGTATTAAAGCTTTCTTTCTTATCTTGTCACTGAGTATCATTCTCTAGCTGTGCCAAAGTATAAGGAGTGTTAGTGTTAATAATTTGGGAATTCTGCATGTAGCTCAGATTCCTGGTCTAAAGACAAAAATACATGTGCAATCCCTTTCTTCAAGAGTACAAGAATAAAGCTGCCTCAACCAGACATTTCTTCTCTCATCTCTTTCGTTGTCCTGTTGACTCATGTTGTTCTTAGTTCCCAGTAACCAGTGTTTACTCATCATCTTGCAGGTTTTAACAGGAGAACTTCTTCATTTCAAAGTTAGCTGTAATCATACCTCAATAAAAACTGATGTGAAAAGGAATAGATTTTAATAAGGAAAATTAAATTCTTAAAACCGTCTTTGTTCCCGAGTAGGAAGAGTAAATAAATAAATATTAAAAGCATCTTTGTTTCTTAGTACTATACAATCTTGCCAATAGGTTCCAAATGAGAAGCAGCTTATCTGTTCTTTTTTCTGTTTTGCAGAGAAATGATGAAGAGGCTGTGGTGGATAGAGGCGGAACTCGGTCCATTCTCAAAACACATTTTGAAAAGGAAGATCTGGAAGGTGAGAGATTATTTTTCTGTGCATTGCATTGTCTCTTTCTTCTGAAAGAACTGAAATGCAATTCCAATGTGTAAACTTACTGATTTGAGCAGGGATGCAAAGAAAGTGAACAAGAGAGTAGAATCTCATAATTTATTTTAGAAAGAGAAATACTACTCTCTTCTCACAGCAGTGCTCAGATACAGATGAAGGTGGAAGGAATTTGCTAGTTTTCAGTGATCTATAATCAAGTCCTGTAAAACATGCATGTATGACTTTAGATAAGTCTTTCTACCTTTAATTTTCCAAATATGTAAATGCAAGCAGGACTGATGATTTAGTACTTATAATGGCTTCTATACTTCCTTTACAACACTCATGTAGCTGCCTAGCCACCTTTTCAGCTGAACAAAAACATCTGGAGTGTCACAGATCAGACAGATACTTGATAATATACACTGCAGAAACCACCTAACATCACCGTGGGTAAGAAAGTGGGAAGTTGAGAACTGTCTTATGATATTGGCCTAATAATTCAGATAATCTCTGAAAGAGTTGCATTTCAGTTTGTTTAGTGGATCCCAAACTTACTCTGGTTACTACTGTACTTGCACTCTTGTATTGAGTTTTGTGACCCCCCAAGTCATAATTATTGGATGAAACTGTATTTCTGTTTCACGTATGATGTCCCATCCCTGAGACTGGAACTTGCTGATTTTAATTGTTAGCTTCTTGTGGTGGGACATGGAAGGTTCTTGTCTTTGTCATACAGAGCCACAGGAATAGCCAAAAAGAAATACTAAGATCTGGGATGTATTTCAACATCCTACATCTGAAAAGTTACCTGCCTCAGGTCTAAAGAGAGGTTTCTCCATCTGTGCATGAACCTGAGCTTTCTAAATGCCTACCCTTGATTACTTCATTTTTTTTCCCTTTTCTATCTGGCTGTATGAATTTTGTTTTCTCTGCTGCATGATGGCCATATTGATGATTTCATGTGAATGTCAACATGATGCACAGCAACTCCCTGTTAATGCTTCCCTCAGCCGTGCCTCAAAAAGCAGACATGGCTGCATTTTGAAAGGCGGCCTGGCTGTGTTAGTCTGTATGAGGTAGTCTCTCATAGAAGGATGTAAAATGTCACGCAGTGTAGCATATAATGAGGTAGGTAGCTCTCTGCTCAGTCTGAGGCAAGTCTGAGTACATGCAAGGGAAGATCTAGGGTGGCATTTAGGGTTTTGGTGTCTCCAGGGGTAAGTGGCTGTCAGTGGATCAGGCTGGCAATGACAATTTTGGACTTGGGCACGCAACCCCCTTTTTTTGAATCTTGCACTTAGTCTTCTGTAGTCTTCAGTTCCTTTGTCACATCCTCGGACAAAGTGAAACTACTGTATCTGTTGTCCTTAGAGAAATACCTGACAGAAGAATGGATGCTCCCTGCCTTCCCTTCTCCATGATACTGACTCACAGATTTTTTAATGGGGTGAGCCTACCCCCAAAAATATCCTTTTGCTGAGTCATTTTACTGATGATGGTAAGGTGGCATTTCAAAAATGGACAACTTTCTGGAGAATGACAACTTTAAACTCAGTCACATGGGTAGACTCAAGTATTAAGGCAATCAGGATTACTATGATGTTCCACATGTGACTACATGGAACCTAAAGCCTCATCTCAAAATTTGAAGTACGTCATTTGAAAACTATTTAATTACTATTTTTCCCCACTATCCTATAAGTATAGAGTTGCTCCTGTGAAATACCAGTGAAAATATTCTTTCAAAAATCTGCTCCTAGGATGTTATCAATAGAAATTGGAATATGACAATGACCACCCCCCAATCTTTCCATCAATTTAAATTGTTTAGAAGACTGAAAAATTCTGTAGTTAGCTAGTGAGTCTGCTTTCCTTTAAAGTAAAATCACAGTGCTTCATAATGTTCTAACAAAATAATTACTCGATGTAGAATCCTTCATAATGCAGTTAGCTTTCTCAGATAAATTTCATGTCCACTCTAAGATCAGATCAGTGTCTTTAAATTTATAATCACTGCATCCAGAAATACCAAGTGACATAAAAAGATTTTAAGAGATTGTACATTTTAATATCCAGTTGCTGTTAATAGCATGTCCATTTGTTTCACAGCACATCTAGGCACTTTTCCATCTGGAAACAGTGGATGTGACTCACAAACGTCACTGTCTTATTCTTGTCCAATGAACATTGTGTTGGGTTTTGCTGAAAACTTACCTTTTTTCCTAATGACATAACAACTGTAAAATAGGAAATTATATAATCAGGTGCTAATTGCATAGCTTAGTAAAAATCATATAATTAGATAATTAATATGTATTATGTAATTAGCTCTTTGACAGACATTTAATTGAGTTTATGTTTTAAAAATGTAAATAGCTAGTTACTGAATATTCTAGCAAAGACTAGTTTTGACAGGGTTTAAGTTTCAATAGTACCATATCAGCAACATTTCAAAACCTGCAATTCATATGAAGAACTAAAGGTTGTTTAAATCTGAAAATCAGTATTAGTTTCTTCTGATTAAATCTTAAAATTGTAAGTATTTTGCTATTTTTAAATTTTAGATCATCAACATTCAAATGTCAGAGATACTGATTTAAATGTGTACTAAAATTTCCATCTGAAATTTCTTGGCTGAGCAAATACTTGTGTTTGCATATTTTGGGGCAGCCATTGCGCAAATATATTGCAAGTACATATCTTGCTGAAAGCATGAAAATATCACGGTGATTAATGCTGCCTGGAAGAACTTCCACAAGACCAGAATTTTGCCTCAGTCTCTCTAGATCAGTGTTTTCTTTCCCTGAGCAATGTAGTAAAAATTTGGGGAGATAGGACAGGAACTGCAGTACTTCTGGGAACAGAAGAGATGTGGTGCTCGTTTTAGTGCCAGTAATGATACTTGCAATGTGTACTTCAAATCGTATCTTTCTACTTAAGCTTTGTAGTGCTTCAGAGGTGGATTGTTTGCAAAGCTTTGGCATTCATATTTTCAGCATGAATGATTTTTCCAAGTAATTCATTTTTCCCAAGTTGTAAGGTCAAGATCAGGCACTAATACCAAACAGGTCATTTGTCTGACTGTTGCATTAATGAAGGGACAGAGAAAGCATTTCTAAAAGCAAAACAAGAAGCCCATCTCCCCTGGTTATAATCACATATTTTGCATGTTATATTTCAATGCGTGTATAGACAAAATTCCTACTGAAATAAATATGCTCTTATTTTCATCAGTGGTGGAATTCCTAAATGAGAACTGGGCACTGATTCTGGATGCTAAAGTACTTAATTGCAAAAGGACAGGTTGTACATGTACCTGTACTGGAAGCAGGTAGGCAAGTTTTCATAAACAGATGTGCACATCAACAACCAGTTGCACTCGGACAGTTTGCTTACTCCATGTTGTTGTCTCTGACTATCTGCCATTGCTTGAATGCATGTTCAGTAGTAACAGTTTTCTAACAAAATGGATATACCTACTTTTTCTCTCATAAGTTAAAAATATTTGGATTGATCTGTACGTGTCTGGAGATCTCAGAGTCTCTCAGATCCCACGCTGAGACTTTTGGACTATGTAGATATGCAATATGATTGGCACTAAGTGCGCTCTGACTAAGGTCTTTTGCTTATGCCCTCTGTACCAGCTGAGAGTGAAAATGACTGTTCCATGGCTGTCCTTGCTAGAGGCGGTCAGCTTCAGACACTGGATTTTTGTGGCAGGATTTCAGAACTGCTGTGGGTATTACTGTGGCCTGGTTTGAGAAGCAGCTTTGATAGGGAGATGGCTGGAGATAGAATTGTTAGGTGGAGGTCCAGGCATGAATCAGGGATGAATTCTGGCTCTGTTGGAGGAAATTGCAAAATGATCCTTGGTTCAGAGAAGTCAAGATTTTGCTTAAGCTTTTCATGTTTCATACATTTTTATCTGCCTAAGTGGTGTGGGAAAAATTTGTCTCATGGGAAATTGTTTGTATCTTTCACATCTCTCAGGATACATAAACCACCATATCCAGTATATAAATCACTGTACATCAGAATATGCATTCTGACACTTTTGACAAAATTTAGATTACATGGAGTGATTACTGAAAGTCACAGAAGACTTCAAGCTAAATTAGGAAATAAACATCACTGGTGCAACACTGAATATGCTACAGAAGCTGAGGATTTAAATTTAATAAACCAAAAATTAATTTGAAATGTTAGTGGGCTTGTAGAGATGTTTTGTATTTAAAAACCTGCACAAAGGTTAATTTTGATAGTAGATGTCCTGCTGACCAAAAAAAAGAGAAATCCCGGAGTATTTAATTATTCTTTTTTAAAAATGGTTATTTTAGTTATTATTTCTTTTTAGATTTGTTAGCGTGTGACAGTACTTTAAAAATTATTTTCATGAAATTTTTATTATATACAGTTAGGGTTAATATATGAAAAGCTCATTGTGATTGAACTCTAATCTCCATATATTATTTAGTGAAAATCTGAGTCGCTCCAGATATTGAAGTGAGCTTTTATTCTCAGAGACTGGACACTTTTTATAGAAGTAACATAATAGTGGACCTGTCTGCCACTGACATTATTTACCTGAAAATTGGTATAACCTAGCAGCTCACAGGACTGAAAGAACATAAATGTTATTAACCTGCTGGCCTTGATTCAGCCTTGCCCCCATGTAGAAGCAAGTCAGCTACTAATTCTGCTTGGCCAGACAGGAACATCGACCAAGGTCTCCCCTCCCTTTGGCTGCCAGGACGCTACAGCCTACTGCAAATAATTTGTTACTCTGTCAGTACAGATTGCCTGCTCCAAGCATCCTTGCCTCTGCTTCCCTTGGGTGCCCCATTCATCCTGATGTTCACTTTGACCTATCTCATGCCCCTTGCGGCAATGTTCATTAGACTTAGAGGGGTAGAATATAAGATGTGGAAGAGCTCCAATAGAAACAGTTGGACAGAGGTTTGGGTTAGTCTACGCCTGCAATGTCG